AGTCAGCAGGTCAGTGAGGGAGACAGACATCTTTACTGACAATTCAGAATTCTGAATAATAAGACCTGTATTTTCAACCTAGGCTAGGGAATTGGAAAAAGAGATGTGGTTGTGCCTGAACTTGTATGCAGTGGGGTGTTTATAGTGAGGATTCGTAACAGGGCGCATGGCTGACAAAACACTGGGGTCTCCTGCCTAGTGACACATTCCCAAACCCCGGGGCCTTGGTCCTCTCATTTATAAGTGAGGGCTGTTTCTTTTCGTTGATCTTATAGGGGCGCTGACCTCTCCTTCCTTACCTTTGAATATCCCTAGGTGTACTGCATTTAAATGATCTCAGGCTGGGAGTGTAATTTTATTTGATCAAATTTCATTTCTTTTTTCATGTGTAGGTCTCTTACTATTGCTGAATCTGATTATTGACCAGAGAATTGTGGAGGGCATTAAGCACTACCTGTAAAGTGCCTGACCTACAAGATGATCTTCATCTCACGGCCATCGAGTTGACACCCACTCATGGCAACCCTATAGGGCAAGGTAGAACTGCCTCTGTGAGTTTCCAAGACTGTAACTCATTACGGGAGTAGAAAGCCTCATCTTTCTTCCACGGGGTGGTTGGTGGTTTTGAACTGCTGACCTTTCAGTTAGCACCCCACTGTATAACAGCTACTCCAGAATGGCTCTCAGTCTTCATAAGTGGTCCTATTAGTATATTCAGAGGTGATGTAATTATGTGTGTACAGATTGGCCTCTCCCACTCAAAGGTCTTCTTACTCAGCACTCACTACTAGAGTTCCCGTGCTCCACGTACACCGCTCACCAGGGATGCAGGTGGCGATGTATGCCAAAGCTTGGCATCTTGGGCTGTCACATGTGTGGGAGCACTACTGCCCTCTAGTGGGATGGTGTTAAGTATTCTTTACTGTTCAGGACTGTCCTCGACAGTAAAGAATGGCCAGTAAGATATCATGAACACCACGATGGGACACCCTGGTCTTGACAAGCACAGCTTGCTGGTAGCTGCTCAAAGGGGCTGCGGGATGAGTAACATATGGATAAAGTAATGAATTAGACTGATGAATATGGGAGTTTGGTTACTATTGTATAGAGGGGAGTGGATCGAGGAGGAGGGACGTATCTCAAAGTTCATGGAAACATTCCATCATCTTTTCATGTCATTTTCCCCCTCAAGCTTTTTGATGTTCTCTTGTAGGGTGACAATGGCAACAGTTAGGAACATGTCATTTCATCTGAATGCATATACACAGAAGCACTGTCAGGGAACACTAGAACAACCTCATGAAACAGATCATTCTTCTCCACTTCACTAAATGATTTTTGGATCCTCCTCAAATGAGCGATGAGCCACATTTGTAAATCATAATGTAATAAGTATTGACATCATTGCTGTAAATCATAGTGTAATAAACATAAACAGCTCATATTTATGAGGGCTTTTTTTTTCTGAGGGTGTAGGATGTATTGCTGGCCTTCATCCTCACAATCATCCTTACTTAAAACAAAAACAAAACCCAAAGATAACTATCAAGTCATTCTGGCTCATAGCAACCCTATTGGGCAGAGGAAAACTTTCCTTTGGGGTTTCCAAGGCTTGTAAGCCTTTATAGGAGCAGAAAGCCTCATCTTTCTTCCTGAGATTAGCTGGTGGGGTTTGAACTGCCATCCTTGCTGTTGCAGCCAAGTGTCTAATCCACTATACCACCAGGGCGCCACAGGAAACAGGCTCAAATGGGCTACTTGCCCAAGGATGTTGTTAAATGCCATTGGGTCTGTTCTGATTCACAGCGACTCCATGTACAACCGAGAGAACTGCCAACTCATAGCACAGGGTAGAACTACCCCCAGTGAGTTTCTGAGACGGCAATTGTTAACAGAAGTAGAAAGCCCCACCTTTCTCCTAAGGAGTGGCTGGTGGTGTTGAACTGCTGACCTTGGGGATTGCAGCCCAAATTATAACCACTACGCCACCAGGGCTCAAGGATGCAAAGTTTTTAATTGAAAAAGTCAGGGTTGGGACCTAACACCTCTCTGATTCTAAAGCAGGTGTGCATCACTACTACATTATTGCCTCCAGAGAAAGTAAGCGAAAAGGGCCAGTGGTACAAATTCTGACCCTGGTGTTACTACTGAAGTTCAAAAATATCCGTGGCCAGGGCAAAGCAATCACGTGTGTTCACAGGTGTGAGGGTGCACCCGCCTTTGGAAAATATGGTCCTCGTTCCAAATGCAAGGGTCTTTAGTTGATGAGGCACCTGTGTCTGAAGAGTCTTTGTCTTGTGTCGAGCAATGCGCCAGGATGTGGTAGCTACTGATGTCATACGC